CTGCTCCTCAGGGCCACCCCCTCTTCCTTATGTGACTTGCCAGCTCTCCTCCCCCACCCCCAAAGTCAGTTCCTTCTCAGTCTTTAGAATTCAGCGCAAGTGCCACTTCGCTGGCCCCTGGACTAGACCAGTCTCACTATCCTTCCTTGGCCTTAAGTCAACCATCTTTAAATAATGCATTGACGGGGACCTAATTTTTTTTTTTGAGAGGTTTTTACTATAGTGCGTGTGCCCTCGCCAGACAGAGAGAGACAGAGACAAAAAGCGAGAAATCACCCCCCAGGGGGGATGGCCACGCCGCAATCCCTTCTCCTCCATTCTCTTCTCGGTATCTTGGGCACACAAGCACACGCGCCTGGCATGAGACACCAGATCCAGGACTTGAACCGCAGTTGACTACATGGGAGTCCAGTGACATAGCCATTACACTAACTGCTGGTCCCCACAGGGACCTATTAAGGCCTTCTCTTCCAGCAGACCACCCTGAGGCTGTTCGCTGTCGAGCCCACGCCTCCTGAGCGCTCGCAGTGGGACAGAGGCTCGGACAGTAGGAGGGGAGGCCGAGTACCAGCAGAGCTTCTAGCACAGAGTGTTCTAATCAAGGACTCGCAGGGTTAAGCACAATCGCAAACCCCTAGAGCACAAGACAGTGCATCCAGACAAGGGGCACTGCCTGGCACTGACCCAGCTGCAGCCCTGGCTGTGGCCGCTTATCTCAGAGAACCGGCCGAGTGGCATCTGAGGAGCTCGTGACTCACTGGAAGGCAGAAGGGAGTTCTGTGGGAGATAAAAAGGACTGTGATAAAATACAACCCAAAACATAAAAACCTTGTTTTAGATGAAATGCAGACACTTTTAAGAGTACATTGTTAAAAAAAAAAATTAGAAAATCAAATCAACAATGACAACACTTCAAAAGGGCAGACTCCACCCCCTCAGCTCACAGCCTTTGTTCATCGAGCTGTTTCTCCACAAAGAACATTTTCCGGTACCTCAGCACCCCCTCAGCTCACAGCCTTTGTTCATCGCACTGTTTCTTTCTCCACAAAGAACATTTTCCGGTACCTCACTTTGCCTCCATGTGCTTCCGAAAACCTGTCGAGTCAAGTAATATCTTCGGTCCTCTATTTAAAATATGCATCATTCTGAAGGGACTTCAGAAACGTTTGTAGAAAATAGAATTAAAGGATGAATTTATTTTGGTATAAAACCATTTTTAATCCATGCCGAGTTTTTTCATAATATGCATTTTCATGAACTTTTTGAAGACCCCTCGTATGTCAAGAATAAGGAAGAAACATGAGAAGCCTTCTGCATGGCTAATAAGCACGCCCCGATCTCTTGTGAACATGAAGGACGGGATTCCTCTCATACTGTGCATCTTTCCTGGGGACTGCAGCGAATCCAAGGTTTCAGCCACCGCATCTGCTGCACCTTCGTATGTAACGCTCAGTGTCCTCACGGACTCTCAAATGCCTCCACACACCAGAGGCAGAACCCATCCAGCTCAGCTTCCTCCTCCCCTTCTCAGGATGGCCTCCAGCCCACCCGGGCTACATCCGTAATGTCCGTGTAGGAAGCTGCACTCAGGAGGCTCCTAAGGACATGCAGGGAGGGCTCCCAGGTCCTAGGGGCCACAGGCAGGGAGGGGAGAGGGCCCCAGGCTGATGCAGGCTTGGAACCTGCCAGCAAGCAGGAGCATTACTAGCTGTGCGCATTAACTGTGGGTGCCACTGTGGCCGGCCATCAGAGGCAGCAAGCCTACGGGTCCGTGTTCCTCTAACGGGGCCGCAGTGCAGACGCTGCAGTTCAGGGGTCTTCAATGTAGAGGCCATGGCACCCTGTCCAGCCGCTGTCATGCACGTCTCATTTACACCCAGTCACTGCTTTCTGGATGTCGCAGGGGCAAACCAAAGTGAAGGCCAGCTTGGTGCGAGTCTGTGCTACCGTCCTTCCCTGTCCTTGAACCTGGTCAGACCCTGGCTTCTAGTACAGTTCTTCTCTCCTTCCTGTCTACAGGTTTTAATAATAATAAGTGACCATTCGTTGAACTTTCACTCCGACCTGCCCTAAGCCCTTTTTATGCTTTATCCTACTCTGCAACACTCTACATATCATAGTTATTATTTTTTAAAATAATTATTTTTATTTAATTTTATGTATTCATTTATTTCACACACAAAAAAGAGAGAGAGCTCACAAGCCACCAGGTCCGGGACTTGAACCGGGTCAGCCATGTGGGAGTGTCCAGTACCTTAACCACCATGCCACCTGCTGGTCCCCACATTTCATCATTATTATGATTAATGTGGTTCCCACAGACTTTGGGATCAAGTTCCAAGTCCTTTTCCTAAAAATACAGCATCCCCCAATGAAACACCAGCCTTCTCAGACCACCTTTTCTCCAGCCTCACTGATTCCCTGGAATGCCAGCCCGACACCCTATTCCTGTGCCTTTGCCAGGCTAGCACCGGGAGTTAATCAGGCCTTGCCCACCAAGAAAGCCTTTCTAACTCAGCACCCAGCCTGCAGGCAGCATGCGGCAGACAGGCCAGCTACGCTGTGAGCCTGTCCACTCGCCTGTTCCTAGGCTGTAAGCAGGTTTCCAGGAAGGCCGGCCGGACGTTCTGTTTCTTAGTATCTCCCCAGACCCTGGCATTGTAGGAGCTCAGCAGTGACTGGGTGAGCAGGCTTGTGTGTGTAAACAGAAATCAACGCTTCAACTCACACCAGCACTTGTGTAAAGATGGAGGGTGAGCCCTAAGTGAGCCGACCTGCGTGCAGTGTTCCTGGGTTCTTCCCCGCCTCCAGGCAATGTCTGCACGGCTACACGTTCTCATATTGTCCTTGTAAACACCCGCCATGAATCCCATCCCTCTCTTGTCCCGTTTCCCTGTATCTTTAAGAATCTAGAATAGGAATGGATCGTATGTGGTCCATTTAAAAGAAGCTAACTCTGTTTGCTTATTGTATTCCTTGGCTAGGGCTCTAAGGAAATTGGTGTTTCCAGAGCCTAACCTAATCAAAACCATGTGCAATAACTTCAGCTCTTACAGCAGAATGTTCCTTCCCTTCTCTGGAAAGTACCTCATTGACTGAATGATCATTTTGCTCCCTGAAGGAAAAAAAAATGATGGTAAATACTGAGTTGGAAAAATCACGGCAGGTCATGTATTTTTTTGTTTTCTATGTAAAATGTGTCACAACGTTGCTACAAACCAGTAATATAAAGTTCTAAATAGTTTAAATTGCTTCAATGACACTCTAAAAATATGTGTTGATGCATTGGAATCAACTCAAAAGTTTAAAAAGGCTGGGGCCGGCAGGTGGCGTGGTAATTAAGGGTGTTGGACTCCCACATGACTGACTGCAGTTCGAGTCCTGGACCTGGCAACTTGCTTTCTCACTTTCTCTCTCCCTGTTCCTCTATGGCCAAATTTAAATAAATACATAGAGTTAAACAAACTCATTCTTAGGAAAAAAAAAAAGTTTAAAAAGGCTAAACATGGGGGGACCAGCAGTTGGCGTAATGGCTATGTTGCTGGACTCCTTTGTAGCCCACCACGGTTCAAGTCCTGGACCTGGTGGCTTAAACTCACACCAGGTGTGTACATGCCCAAGATCTTGAGAGGACAATGGAAGAAAAGGGATTACAGCATGGCCATCTCCCCTGGGGGTGATTTCTTGCTTTCTGTCTCTCTTGTCTTTCTGGCAAGCACACACACCAAAAATAAAAAAAAAGGCTAAACACACATTTTTTTAAGTTTAGGGGATCAACAAATGGCATAATCACTGGACTCCCATGTAGTCAACCATGGTTCAAGTCCCAGACCTGGCAGCTTGAAACTCACACTGAGTTCTTGTGCATGTGTGCCCAAGACCCTGAGAGGAGAATGGAGGAGGAGGGAATGTGGTGTGTTCATCCTCCCTGGGGGGCGATTTCTTGCTTCCTGTCTCTCTGTCTCTGTCTTTCTGGTGAGCACACGCTTCCTATAGCAAAAATCTCTCTTAAAAAAGAAATGTTTAAAACTTGCCCAGCCTGGAGGCATACCTGGTTGCAAACTGAACCACAGTGCTGGAAGCCGCATTGCTGACGGTGGGTTCAGATCGCCAGATGGTGGGTGCACGAGCTTCTGTAAGAGCTGGAGGGCTGGGGAGAGGGAGCCCGATGTGACAAGACCCTGTTGAGGGCATGTCGTTTCTCTCTGTTCCTCTGTCCTCCTCCCTACCGTTAGCTGCTCATGCACGTTTTCTATTATGAATAAAAATAAAAGAGACAGACGATGAGAAACGTGCATGACTATGAACACTGCAAAGGAAACAAAGAACGTAATGCCCAAGGGCCTCTTCAGGGCTGATAATTCCTCCTGATGCAGACTAAATACACATCAGCAAAGTGCACCCATGCCTGCACGTGTGGGCCAAAGGGCGTGTCCCAACCCCAGGTCTGAGTGTGGCTAGTTCCTTACTGTCCTCTCATCTCAGCTGAGAGATGACCTTGTCCTACCTCCTTCCTTGACCACCCCGTCTTCCTTTATCCCCACCTGAAAGCGTGTTGTTTCCATGTTGCTGTAACTCCCTGGGACCGAATGGCCTGCGGAGCCCTCCCTGGGCCCGAGTGGCCTGCGGAGCCCTCTAGGCTGTCTCCAGCGCTCACGCAGCTCCAGCCCCCGAGGAGGCCATGGAGAAGGCGCAGAGGGTGGGAATGCAGTGGGAATGCAGGGATGCACGCCAGGCCCTGTACACGCCGGCGTCTCATTCAGCAGTTCAGCCCGGAAATAACTGCTTCTCCCTCTCTGCCTCCCTCCTTGTGAATAGGCGGCACATGAGCAGCCGAGTGGCGTGGTCAGACCACAGTCTGAGCTCTCTTCTAAAGTCTCACCAATTTTCTTCACGTGTAAATCCAACCGCGATCGTGTGTCCAACCCGTTACCCCAGAAGTTCACATGAAGCTGTCATTGGAGCTTCCTCTGTGCTAAGATTCAGTCTCTCTATTTCAGACGGACCCAAAACGAGGATGCGAAGTTGACCTGGTGTTTAGCACAGAGCGCTACGACCTGAAGGTAAGCAGTCAGGGAAGGTCCTATTAGAAACTGCTATGAATTCGGTTTTTAGAGACTGAGAATTTCAATGTACAGTGACAGGAGGTCTCACTGCGCTATGTTCTTCTGCTCTGTCTTCTGTTTATTCTCAAGAACTGGAGAGCAGAGCTGGACGAGAGCTCGAGATTGAACTACTTCAGCTTCGTAGCAGGTCTTGAGCAGCGTTGCGTTAGTCCAGGGCCAGCCCATGGTGTGGTGGTGAAGGGGCTGGGTCCTGCAGTGGCCCACTGTACAGTTCAGGTCCTGGACCTGATGCTTGACAAATGCCAGGTGCATGTGGGTGTGTGCCCCGAATCCGAGAGGAGGAAGAGATGGAGGTGAAGGGATGGCAGCAAGGCCATCCCCCATGGGGGTGCTTTGCCACACTCTCTTCCTCTCCCCCTGTTCCTAGTGAGTGTGTGCACCCTCTAAGCAAATTTAAAGTCTGCATGCACACCAGTCACCACCCCCTTCCCAGGCCCCTGGCAGAGAATTTCCCAGTTCGCTCTGTTTCCCTCCCAGCACCCCAGAGTCCTTAGCATGACTCACTCTCAAATGCCAGCGCATTCCTTTTCCTGTCAGCTGGTGACATTTCTGGTTAGCAGGCCAGCACAGCACGGGCCTCTTCCAGGAGCTGAGCTTGTCTGCAGAGAGGCATCTGCACAGCGCATGCGCCCACCGCCATTAGCCTCACCGCAAGGCTGACCCCGCAGGCCATGCTGGGCCAAGTTTCCTTCTCTCTGCTTTCTAGAGGAGAGTGAATGGAACACTTATATGGAAATGAGAGCCAGATGAGCTTCTCCTGGGCTGGGCCAGGCTGGAGGCTGCAGCCGGAGCAGGCTTGGAGAGGAGAGCAGCCCCGATGCTCTTGGGCTGTGCTGAGTCAAAGCAGCCGGGGGAGCAGGCGGGTGCAGCCTGGCTGTGTCCAGGGCGGTAGAGCTCTGGGGGTGAGGCACACTCCCCCAGACCCATGCTTCCGGAGCCCCTTCCAGCCTTCAGAGACAGTGCTAACACAGTTTTGTCTGTTAGTCTAAGGATTTTCTTCAAGGAAGATGCCTTTGATTTCTAGTGTTGCAAACTCAGACTTAAAGCTCAAGGGAAAACAATTACTAGATTCTTTTGACCAACTTGCTTCTCTGGATTGGATCCTGCAGCTGCAAGAGCCCAGCCAGCTGATGGATATGCTCTGTTTCAGGGGGCAAAGGAAAGTTCTATCTTTAGGCCCCTGCTTTGATTCTGTGGAGGTGTTTGGGGGAAAAACAGGGAAAGAAAAGCAAGGGGGTGATACCTGGTTCTTTCTCTCCTCCCTGGGAATGGCTTGGACCTCACTTGACACCATGACAGGCCACCTTCTGGCTCTTCCCAAATGCTCCTTTCACCTTTATCATGTGTCACCCAGTAATCAGCCTAAGAAACTCCCTCTGTCAGTCTCTCACTCACAGGAGGGAAAGTGGCCCATTTCAGTTTTTTTAGATTGTTCTCGAAACAGGCTTATTAGGAAGATCCCATTTGGATTACCAGATGTTTCCTTGAGCACTTCTTTTTAAGTGTTTTTTTTTGTTTGTTTTTATTTTAACTGAGACAACGCCCTATTAAAACAACTATAAAAGTGAGGTTATTGCCTTAACTTCTCAACCAACCACCTCGTAACAGGAGTTGTTTCTAGTCCAGGGGCCCATGGATGGGTTAGGGGGACGTGACCAGTGAACCCTGAACTGCTTCCAAGTCTAGGACTAGTGCTGACAGTGTGAACACGTGCATTTTTTTTGGAAGAGGTTCCCTGGGTTTTATTGTGGAGTAAAGGAAACTAAATTAAAAGTGTAAAGAACTACTATAAAATAAGTGATGGTGACCCCAGAATACCCAGTACATCTGCCTTTTTAAAAAGAAATTTTTTTTTAAGTTTTTGCTACAGGGTGCATGCGCACTCACTGGAGACACAGAGAGAGATAAAGTAAGAAATCACCCCCAAGGGTGACCATGACACAATCTCCTTCACTCCATTCTCTACTTGGGATTTTGGGCACAAATGCACACATACCCAGCATGATCCTCAAGCTGCTGAGTCCAGGACTTGAACAGAGGAGTCAGCTAGGTGGGATCCAGTGCCTTAACCACGATGCCACCTGCTGGCCCATCTGCATTTAAAATGAATGCAAACAAATGTCATGCGGGGAGTTGAATTAGTCCCATTGTGATAACCCCCACCTCCGCATCTCTGGATCGGATCCAGATAGTCAGTACAGAAAGCCTGAGCCTCCGTGACCGCTGGGTGTGAGCTCCGGTCCTGGTGTATTGCTCACTACCTGTGAGACATGGAGCAGGTTCCTCTTTAAACTTCACTATCTTTTCCCCCTTTCATTAACTGCTACAGGGTGCATGTGTCAGAGACGAAAGAGAGAGACAGAGAGAGAGAGAGAGAGAGAGAGAGAGAAGAAAGCCCCAGTGGCCTGTGTTCAGGCTGCAATCCCTGCTCCATTTGTCCAGGTTGTCGGGATGCGGGGCGCGCAGGCACGCATCCCTGGCGTACTTTTCCAGCTGCTGGGACTGGGATTCACACCAAGGTTGGGCCTGTGGGATCTGGCCCCCTTAACTATTAATACTAGGTGATAAGGCTAGCCCATAAACTTCAGTATCGTAATTTGCAAACTTGGAAAAACAGGACCTAATGCATGGCGCAGCATGAAGATGTTATTTCTGAAAAGAGAATCCACCTTGATCTTTGAATTAGTGCAGTAAGCTGGCCACAGGAGAGTTGGGTGTCCCCTAGCCTGAAGGTCTGGCTAGGCAGTGCTTGACAGGCTTCACAGAGACCTCTTTAAAAGAGGCCCAGGACTGTCCTACCAGGGCCAGAGTCGAAATGACAGCAAGGCGTGAAGGACTGTTTTATTTAGCTGTAAGCACAGAAGAACTTTCTGTAGCGCAACCACTATCGACCCCAGAGCACGCCCGCCACATGCAGGGAACAGCCCGCAGTCCTGTGTATGGTGTGTGTGCAATGGCGGGTGAGGGGTAGTAAGGAACCCCCCTAATTCCAAAATCTTTACTTCAGGAAGACGAGGACCAGGTGGGGAAATGTTCTGCCCGAGTGTTTTACAAGAACGAGAAACCCAGACCTGCCGTCAACGTGACTTGTACACGGCTCATTGAGAAAAAGAAGACACAAGAAGAGGATTACCTGCTTTACAAGCAACTGAAGCAGCTGAGAGCCCCCTTGGATGTGGGCAGCATACCTGGTATGAGTCAGTATTTGGAATTTCTGTGTTCTGAAAAGTATGTAATTGGGACCAGCAGATGGCATAATAGTTATGTCACTGGACTCCCATGGGGTCGAAAGTGGTTTGAGTCCTGGACCTCGTGGTTTAAAACTCAGTCCATGAGATGTTCATGTGAGCCCAAACTCCTGAGAAGAGAATGGAGGAGAAGGGATTGCAGCATGGCTATCCCCTCAGGGGGGTGATTTCTCACTTTCTCTCCTCCAAGCACATGTACCCTTTAGCAAAAAAACAAAAACAAAAACAAAAAAACAACGAAAAACAACTCCCTCTTGAAAAAAAAAAGTAATTACTAAATATTAAAAAAGAATGACCACATAGGGCTGGTTTTGTGAACTCACAGTTACGTGAGCTGGATTCCACACAGTTCAATTTCTGACCCCTATGGCTTAAAAAACACACCAAGTACATGTGCATACCCCAAATCCCAACAGGCGGAGAATTGAAGAGATTGTGGGGTGACCACACCCCCTTGGGGGTGCTTTCTCTTTCTCTGATGAGTGCACATTTCTGACAATTTTTTTTAAGAATGATCATTTACACTTTTATCCCCATCATGGCATTTCCATTTAACCACAGGCCATGGTATGCCTCATTTTACTTAAACAAAACTCAGGTGTCCTTCTCTTCTTCCTCGCTGGCATGACAAACAGACTCCACAAGCTCTCTGTGTCCCTGTAGTCTCCCTGTCCCGTCCCAGAGCGAGAGGCATGGCAAAGGCTGAAGGCCCAAGTAAAGGGGGCTTCACAAGGAGACTCGCTCACAGGGGCGCACTGTTCAGGGTGAGTCCAGAACCGAAGTGGCGTTTGTAGTAGCTCTGGAAACAGGTGACAAGCCCCCTGCAGCGCCTTCACATTGCCTGTCACAGCCTCCTGCACCAGGACTGGGGGAGCCGACTATCCCGGGCCCCTTCCCGGAGGCTGCAGTCAGCCAAGTTTCTCTCTTGCAGGTCAAGGGCTAATGGCAGTAGCGCAGTAGCGCCATCACTAATAAATGAGGAGGCCTGTCCTCGGAGTGACTCAGCCTGGTGAAGCCGAGCCCGTTTGTCAGGCCCTCAGCCGAAAGTGCGGGCAGCAGCTGGAAGGCTGCACATTTACTGGCAAATCGGATTTCCGAAAGCACATCAGCCACCTCTGGACTTGCGCTTGGGTCTGACGCTCACCATCTGACCTATTTTAAGCGCTCTCTGTCTCTCACTTTCTCCCGGGTCACTCACAAATGTCCAAATCGAAGGGCCCGCAGTCTCCACTGAGAGCTTCTGGTTCCTACCGATTTACTGAGGCTGACCGAGTATTCTTAAAAGCCTGGAAATGGAATACTATTGCTCCTCACGTTTCTCAAATTCAAATAACAGTTCTCTGACAACTTGGATCAAATCCGGGCAAAGAATTACGAGAAGCAATTCAAAATCTCCTGTTAGAATTTGTCGACACTCAGTACTCTGGGAAACAGATGTGCTAGTGGCCAGTTCTCAGAGATCTAGTTAATCAGGGATTTTTTCTTTCTCCTTTAGTTGGAGACACAGGCTTATGTATTTTTAAAACACAAATTTTAGAAATTTTATAGGATCTTTTTTTGAACATATGCCATGGGATCATTAGATTTTGGGATCCTTTTCTAAAAAATTATCATTTAAGAACATTTTGCTTGAGGGCATGTGCACTTGCTGGAGAGAGACAGAGACAGGTAGAGAGAGGGGGAGAAAGTGAGAAGCACCCCCATGGGGAATAGTCAGGCTGCAATCCTCCATTTCTCCTCTCGGGATCCTGGGCATGTTTACATTAATGTTTTTTCTCAACCACGGGGTCTGGGACTTGAACTGCACACTCAGCCGTGCGGGATCCACCTGCACTGCCCACCACGCCATAGACTGCCCCCTCCAAAAAAAATTCTTTTTAATAGAGGGTACCTTTTCATCAATAAAACTTACAAGATTTGCTGTCACTGTAAATTCAGCAGATAGTTAATGGTGCTATTTATCGCCTACCTGTATATGTTAAATTGCCTATTTAAAACTGAAAACGGTTTATTTTAGATCAAGAAAATATCAGCCAGTCCAACTCAGCAGATTATACTGTGTTTAACTGACCCGAGATTGAAGTAGTAGCAGCAAGCTGTTGTTGTGTGTGTACATGATTTGGAGCGGGCACGCACACTTGCTGGAGAAAGACAGACAGCAAGCGGAAACACAAGAAAGCACTTCCCTGCGGCATGGTCACGCTGCAATCCCCTCCCTCCCATTTCTTCGTCCTTTGGGATTTTGAGCATGCACACGTGCCTGTCCTCTTTAAGCTGTCAGGGCCAGGACTCAACCACGCAGTCAGCCATGTAGGATCCAGCTGCCCTAACCACCGAGGTGGGCCCTTTCGTATAACAGGCACTCCTCACTTCACGATCAGGGCCTGTGAATACTTCACCAAAGCCCTGTCTGAAATGGCCGACTATGAGCTGGGTGAAGGTCATTTTGAATCAGTGAAGACAGAGATGATGGGAAATCTCTTAACAGTAAAATAGGGAAAAGGATGTTCATGTCAAGGTCTTGAATTCAGGGTCCTGCATTACAGAATGTTCTGAAGTCCTTAGGATTCAGCTGCTCATACCAGGGAGAAATGACCAATTCATAAAATGCTGATATTCCTGTCTGAAGGTGAAAGTCTGAAACACTTTCTGCGGTAGTGTTGATATTTGTTAGGTAAAAAGGGGGAGGAGTCACCCCAGATTGGGAGCGATGGTGGATTTTGGAAAGAATACACGAACACACAAGTAGAGAAAAGCGGGGATCAGGCAGCCTGGATGCTCTGATGGCCAATGCAGCGGCCCTGAGCTGGTCGCAGGCTTATTCCTGTATAGGGCAGTGGGGGAAGGAGAAGTGGAAGGTAAAGCCAGGTGTCCTCTCTTACCAACCACAGCTCTGGAGTACCTTGCGCCCCTTGGTCTGAATAAGCCCCACCTGGCCATCTCTGGCTGCAACAGTGTCCTTTAACCTCTGCAGCATTGCCCAAGCCAGTCTGTGCGCGGCTCGTCTTTAAAGGTCATTATTACTTAGCTCAGATTCAGCCACCCCTACACAATGGCATCTATGGAAACAGTCATGGCTGCCTGTTGCTTACTTACTAAATGCTGCCAGAAAAACAACACCACCAGGTTCAAGAAAATGCATAGAAAAGGCAATGAAGAGCATGAAAAGCGTTCTGTTCTTTTTTTAGAGAGAGAGATTTGCTACAGGATGTGTGTGCTCACCAGAGAGACAAAGAAAAAAAGTGAGGGGTATGGCCAAGCTGCAATCCCTTTCCCCTCATTCTCCTCTCATTATTTGGGGCACACATACACACTCACCCAGCATAAGTTTCAAGCCACAGGGTCCGGGACTCAAATCACGGTCAGCCATGTGGGAGTCCAGAACCTTAGCCACTACGCCACCTGCTGTCCCAAAAAAGTGCTCAATTCTAAGTTTGAAGGCACTTGGATAATTATGAATAGGAAAACACTATGGAACAAAAAACTCAGATGAGCCGTGTAACAATGAGTGGTGACAGCACAGAAAAACAGATTTTTTTTTTTTACTTTATTCACAGCAGATTTTTGTCCTTCTAATTGAGGGGGAGCAGTATGATTTCCAGTATAAGAACGCAGTGTGTAATGGTTCAGGAACGTCATCACACCCAGGATCGCAGCCAGCTGTGGTTGTGCTGGGAAGTTCAGAATCCTCCCCTTTACTTTGAGAGACACAAGCCATCCAGGGGGTCCCCGGTTTTTATAACACTAGACATTGTTCCTCCTGTCCATTCACTGTGCTATTTCAGCTCATCAACCTTCCCCTGCTCCTTGCCCCTATCCTTCCTGGCCTCTACAGTTCTTCTTTTTATTTTTATTTTTTTTGGAAAGTTTTTGCTATAGGGCACATGTGCTTGCCAGAAAGAGACAGAGAGACAAAAAGCGAGAAATCACTTCCCAGGGAGGATGGCCACACCGCAATCCCTTCTCCTCCATTCTCCTTTCAGGATCTTGAGCACACACGCACGTGAGTTTAAGCCACCAGATCCGGGACTCGAACCATGGTCAACTATATGGGAGTCCAGCGACATAGCCATTACACTAACTGCTGGTCCCGCTGCATCTTCTTTATTCATTCATCCGTTGATGGGTTGGTATTCATTTCCAGTTTCTCACTTTCTGCTGTATGTTGGCTGTGTGGAAGCTTTTCCATGTCTTCAAGGCCCAAAGTGTCCCCTGCCCTCATGCACTTTCAGGAGAGTCTTGCTTTCTGTTTTATTGAGATTGAGGAATTTGATTCTATAATTTCTTCCATCTCAGAAAGTCTGTATTTGCAGAATCTTTGAAAAGTTCATGGAAAAAGCCGATGTATGGCTTTCAAAATTATTTTGCACCAAAATAAACTTGTACTTCATCTCCATCTTCCATTAACTTTTTGAAGTCCCTCCATGTCTTCTCACCTCCTTCTATTTTAAGACTTCTTTTATTTTTATCCTTGATTCTAGTAGGTCATCAGGAAAGTCATGACATATTTTTTGTTATTAAACAGCAGATCTGTACACATTGCCTCATCCCCAAGTTTTATAACTAAAACTGCTGCATCTGGGTGACCTGGGACCACCTAGGTCACCAAGCCCAAAGGATTTTCTTGATCTTGATCCTTCTTGATTTTTTTTTTCTCTTAAAGTTTATTTCTTCCAAGAACAAGAGAGACAGCGATAGATAGAGACAGCGATAGATAGAGACAGCACCGCCCACAGGGTCCTGATGTGGTGACCCGTCCCCAGGCTCGGCCAGCCCAGATCATGAGCTTGTGCACACCCGCATACTCAGGGAGGGCTCCAGATATGATCCTGGAACCTTCCCATGGGGTCACGAAGGGCATAATCAGGACCTCCCAGATGTCGTATGCAGTTTAGGAACCAATCCTTAGATATTTGTCTCTTACCTTGGGTTCTGCTGGAGGGACAGCAAGGTCTCTAGGCAACTTTGAGTGCCCTTGGCAAGCAGGGAAGAAGGTCTAAAGGGTTAAGCCTGGTCTGGCCTGTCCTGGGAACTCCAGGGGAGAATTCCTTGTGATCAGAGGAAGATTTCCACCTGAAAGGAGGAAGAAAGAGGGGCTGCTTGATCTTACTGCACATGACCACTCACCCAGAGATAGCAAAGAAAAAACCCGAACCCTGTAAAAACCACCTGGCATCCTTTCTCAGAACGACATTGTTTTAAAAGAGATTTTTGCTATAGGGCCATGTGCTCAACAGAGAGACAGAGAGAAGTCACACACACACACACACACACACACACACCCCAGGGAGAATGGCCACAAAGCAATTCCTTCTTCTCCAGTTCCCTCTCAGGATTAGGGGCACATGTGCATGTGTGCCTGGCATGAACACCTTAATCACCCCTAAATCCTTTCCCTTTAAAAGTCCCAAGGCTCTGTCTTGATCCATCTCTCATTTGCCCCTCTCTTCCCTTGGAAAATGACCACACTTTCCATCAGCTTATTCTCCAAGTCTGCGAACCCCCTCACAGCCATGACACAGATTGCCCTAACTGGTCAGCCTTGTGCTGTTTCACTGCTACACCCCCACACACACACACACACACACCTGGCCCTGACCCTCCCTGATTATCTGCAATGTTTTATATCCTCTACTCCCATGGCTTTCTTTCACTTTTTTAAATGGCCAGATGGTGTGTGCCCTCACCAGAGAGAAGAAGGGAAAAAACACCCACCATGGGGCAAGGTCACACCACAATCCCGTCCTCCCTTCCTCCCTCCTGTCAGGATTTGGGGCACACATGTACACGCACCTGATGTGTCTTTCAAGCCGCTTGAACCAAACCTTGAATCTGGCTCCTTTAACCACTTGGCAAGGGGGTCCCGTATAGTTTTTTTGACACTGCATTTAATATACCTAATACCAAACTCAAGTTGTTTTCACCCAAAAGGTGTTCACATTCTGGTCTTCATTTATTTAATAGTATGACTATTCTCTTGGAGTCTGGCTGGAAACTTCAGTTATCAGCTCATCTGCTAACATTTACTAATCTCACATCTGGTCTACCTCTGTAAAATCTCGTCTCATGCTGTCTCCTCCAAACCCACTGTCATCATCCTTCATGGATATGGTACTTCTTCCTAAGACATGCAAAAGCATGCTTGCTGTCTCTTAGAAGTCAGCCTCCTCCTTTCATCTGTCCTTCCCAGCGGCTAAGCTATCTTCTGGTACTTACCACTGAATCAAAGCCCATGCTGCCCTGGCACTGCATCTGAGGCCATTCAGTCTGCTGTGAGTACGTGTAGACTCTGCGGGGACCATGTCGCTGAGCCTGCATGTCCAGGGCCTTCTTCCTGGGTGAGCTTGCTCTCTCACTCACACCCCTACGCTGAGTCCCACTTACATGACAGGAAGTCAAGACCCCGGGAAATTCTCATCGCTGTGAAGTTTTCCCCAAACCTCTCCAGCACAAAGACCTCCCTCTCTTCCCTGTTCTCCTCAGCTCTCTGACCCTCCCGTTCTTACCAGCTGTTATTTCTACACTGTTAATATGTGGAAGGTGGGGACTTTTCTTTGTATCCCCACAGCACCCAAGCAGTCACAGAATGCTCTGAATACCTACCATTATACAATAGCAAAAGCAAGTTCTACCAATACAATGCTTAATTTGTGCTAAAGATGACTTTACCGGGAAGGAATAGTTTCCTAATAGGTTTATTAGTATTCCTCAGGCTATTGTAAGGCTATTATTGGGTTTAAAAATAGACTAAAAATATCTCTGCCAAATTGCATAAAATGATGGTCCATCAACAATGATCTCATAAATTACTAACATTTGAGTACATAAGGTCACAAAAGGTAACTTATTAATGACTGTATCCCTAAAATGCTGAATTAAAAAAATATTTAAGTCTAAAAACAATGCCACAGGAAAAACACATCTGAATTCTTCATGTGTTTGAAAACAGTGACAGAGATGCTGCGAATACACCAATTAGCTTCAGAACTGCTGATCAGAAAAGGCCATTTTGGGAGATTATAAAGGAAAGATTGGCTCATTTCACTATAAATCCAAACTAAAAGATAATGTGGAGGACCAGCAGTTGGCGTAATGGCTATGTCACTGGACTCCCATGTAGTCGACTGCAGTTCGAGTCCCAGACCCGGTGGCTTAAACTCACACCGGGGCGTGTGCATGCATGCCCAGAATCCCAAGAGGAGACTGGAGGAGAAGGGATTGCAGTGTGGCCATCCACCTCCCCACCCCCACCACCACCAGGGAGTGATTTCTCGCTTTCTGTCTCTCCAGCAAGCACACACATCCCATAGCAAAAATCTCTCTCTTAAAAAAAAAAAAAAACCCTAAAAGATAATGTGGAAAAGTTCACTGACAGACGTTTCAACCTATTTTAAGAGAGAGATTTTTGCTATGGGATGTGTGTGCTTGCTGGAGAGACAGAAAGCGAGAAATCACTCCCTGGTGGTGGTGGGGGTGGGGAGGTGGATGGCCACACTGCAATCCCTTCTCCTCCAGTCTCCTCTTGGGATTCTGGGCATGCATGCACACGCACCTGGTGTGAGCCTCAAGCTGCCGGGTCCAAGACTGGAACGATGGTAGAATACCTGGGAGTCCAGTGACACAACCATTACACTATCTGCTGGTCCCTCAACCTATTTTAAAAAGCTTCTCAACTAACATCACCTTAGTTCCCTCTGGGTATCACTAGAGCTCTTACTTTGCAGTGTATAGTACAGCAAACAGCTGCTACATTGTTTTACAAATCTTTGTAAGACTGACTCAGCTTGGCACATTGAAGCATAGGAATCTCCATCCCACCTAGACACAGACAGGAACAAACCACGTGTCCTGTTTTAGGTCTTGCTGTGAGCTAGGACTCAGGCGACTAAAACTGAACCCAGTGCACTTCATTACTGAAGTTTCTAAAAATTTTGTCTGAAAAAATGCCCTAATATAAGTGTGTTTTTTTCCCTCCTTTTCAGATAGTCATGGACATATTGACCCCTCTCTGAGACCCATCTGGGACTTGGCTTTTCTTGGCAGCTCGTATGTGATGTGGGAAAAGACAACCCAGTCTTTGCACTACTACTTGGCACAGCTCAATAGCGTGAAGCAGTGGGTAAGGAAAACCGAGCGTTAACTTGCACCGCAGAGTTAGAACCAGTGCAGTGTTTTAGACGGAATCAATGAGAAATTCCAATTTTGTAGCAAGAGCTTCAGTTGCGTTTTGTTCAGTCAACAAATATTTCAGCCTGTAATGGGCCATTTATTGCTTTAGGGGCTAAGGATATAGCAGTGAACCAGAGTGAACTAATAAACAAATAAATATGAGCATCAGAGGGTGGTAATAAGGCAGAGAACAGGGAGTGCAGGGTGTTGACGGAATGACTACTTGTGTGGTCTAAGGAAGGGCTTATTTGAATAGTGGTGACACTGGAGCAGAGGCCAACGGGAAGTGAGTGAGCCATGCTCCCAGAAGGGAGAGAACTTCCTGCAGAGGGTACTCAGGCAGCAACGAGGCTGATGGCTTGGAGAAATGGTAGAAACCTAGTTTTGACAGCTTATATTAACAACTTAAGCCCACCTACTCTCTCCTAAAACCACACTGGTTCTGCTAGGGATCATTTCTTTTTGGTGTTACAATAGGCTACAGTCAGTAAAAGGGAACAAACAAAACACTTCCCGTCTGTCTCCAGGAATATCAAAGTACTGAGTTACCAGAAAATGTAACAATAAATCATCATCAATTTAGACAACAAAATTTGGCCTTTGTGATGATCTGAATGGATGCCAAAAAGGTTCATTTCTACATAATATTAAAACTAACGACTTTCTGGCCATGTTGGACTTGGGGAAGAGCAGTCGAATCCTGGAACACCTTGTCGGGTCAAGATATACAATGTCGGCATCTGCCAGGTTTTTTTTCTTTTTTCTTTTTTTAAGTTCTCATCTGCCAGGATTTTTTTCTTTTTTCTTTTTTTAAGTTGCTTTCTTTCTTCCATGAACAAGATAGAAAAAGAGAGAGAAAAACAGACAGCACTCCAAACAGCTCCTAAATCCACCCCCAGCCTTCAGCCAGCGCAGACCTTGGGCAAGCATGTGTCTGGTGTTACTGCACCAGAAACCTTCCCATGTGGACTCAGAAACCATGGTGTCTTACCACTGCCTCATTTTCTGGCTCTTTAATAAACCATGCTTTTTGGTTTGGTTAAGGGTCCTTCTTTCTGGAGGTGGAAGAATCTATAAAAACAAAAATGTAAGAGTATGTTTCAAAGACTTTACTGAAGAAAGCCTTAATCAATGGCACAAGGTTTCTAAGCATTATGGCTCAGTTTTTACATTTTTTTTTATTTAAAAATGGGTAATACTTCGTTTGTTTTAACAGAACAGTTTGTCAAATGAAGCTAATTTCATGATTTGTTTTAAGCCCTGGCTCTTTGTTGCCTGAAATCTGTAGACTGCCATGATTTTCTGCAGAAATGTTGGTTTTGAAAGCAGAATGAGAAGACATTGTCCTTGGGCGGTGGGGGGCTTTATCAGCACAACCAATTTTTAAATTATAAAAGTACATGGAGGGGCCAGTAGGTGACAGGATGGATAAGGGTGCTGGACTCCTACATGGCCAACAGGTGACAGGATGGCTAAGGGTGCTGGACTCCTACATGGCCAACCGCGGTTCGAATCCTGGACCTGGTGGCTTGCTTTCTCACTTTCCCTTTCTTTCTCTCTCTCTCTCTTGGTCAAAGTTAAAATAAATAAATAAAGTTAAATACTTCTTAAAAAAAAAAAAAGTACATGGAAAACGGGCCTTGAGTGCAGACGGCACAAAACTCTGAGATTATAATTATACAACGCAGCAGCTGGTGGCCATCTTGGGCTAGATAACTGCCTCCAATGCTGGATAGTCACCAAATGAGGATAAAACAAGCCTAAACACACCTCCCAAACCCACTCAGGCTGACAGCTGGAAATTCCAGTAACTATTTGCATATCAATGACACACTGACTTTTCTCTCTATAGTGAATTCTTTGACTTTGCAGCTTTTGGGCCTCAGACATTGGCTTTGAACAGTCATGGCTGTATTGGCAGGCAAGAGGGAAACCTAGTCCCCAGTGCAGAGAAGACACCTTAGAAAAGGCAGCCTGTTTCTGGTGTACCCAGGCTCGCTCCTGTACTTCTCCCTGAAGCAGCCTCCTCACCTACTGGAAATTTCTTGGCTTGCAAAAATCTCCATCAATATAGGCGAAACTTAATAGCAAGTCCTTTTTTCCATGTTTATTTTTTAATATTCTTAGGAGTTTCAATAAAGACCTGGTAAGAAGACTAAAATGACAGTTCAAAATGAGGTTTTTTTACATAAAAATTTTCTCTCCCATTTTTACTAGCAAAGTGATAAGCAACTTTGCACCCCCCCCCAAAAAAAATCAGGACATGGCAAAAAAATAGGAAATTAGTTTAGTCGCTAGTAAAACTGATACAAATCAAGTGAATGAAGAAAATGAGGAGAGCTGCTTTCCTACTGAAAACTATCCAAATGCACTGCTTTTAGCAACAGTGTGGTCTACCTTCATTTCCTATGCATGAAGAATGTGGTGTTAGCAGATCTGGCTTGGAATCCCATTTGTAACCTCAAGTTACCTCTCCTGTAAAATCAGCCTCATAATACCTACTCTAAGAGCCAGGAGGATCCCATGAGAACAGGTGCAAAGTGCACGGCATAGGCACTTTGGCATTCTAGAAATACTGGTTGCCCTTCCCCTTGTCCCACTGGCTGAGGTATCAGGGCTGACTTACCAACTTGACGTGCATCCATAAATGCTGGATCTCTGAGGATGTTAAGAGTCTTCCTATAATCACAGACCGCCACCTCCATCAAACCCCATAAATATTAGAGAGAAAAGCTAATAGAAAGGCATTCAACCAGGCCTTCATGTCATTCAGTGACAAAACAAAAATAAGAGTCCGTAACTTCCATGTCTTGATGCAAGATACAACCACAGAAAGTGAGTAACACATCTGAAAGGCGGCAGGAAAACAGGCAGCCATCCGAAACAAGAATGTGGATGACGTGCACCGCCTAAATTCTCAGACACCGTATTTACTACACTCTGTTTTCCTTCTAGAAAACTAATGATGATGCAATTGATTTTGACTATATTGTTCTACTTCATGAATTCCCAACACAGGTAAAGTACAGAATTTTATGTTGAATTGTTTCCATTAGACGTTTTTGCAGATTTCAATATTTTGTAACTCTTATTTCTTAGGAAATCATTCCCTGCCGTATTCACTTAATCTGGTTCCCTGGCAAGCCACTTAAGGTGAAATATCACTGTCAAGAGCTACAGACACCAGAAGAAGCCTCTGGAACTGAAGAAGGGTCAGCTGTGGCACTGACGGAGAGCAGTAATTTCTGAAAAGGGAAAATGATCTGCTTAACACCAAATTCTAAGCAAAATGACTAACAAGCCTAATCACTACAATAGTGAAATACTAAGGTATAGGCGTATACTATTACTTTTGGAAAGCCCGCAATTACAAAACTTAAAAGATGCTGGAGTCTGCTTTAGTATGAACTCGGAGCACATGCACACCGAGCTCTGCTCAGTGCTTTATGGTACTGGAATGCTCCTCTGGGTCTCAGCCCTAAAATGCAAAACCCAGACAATATATGCTGAACCTAATTAGAAGCATTTCAAAAATAAAACAAAGCCAAAAAAAGATGGTCTTATCTCTGAAACTAAATTCCTCATTATTTTGAACATACTGTAGCTATTTGATGTTGCTATAAATTGATTCTACTCAGTATATAAACAAAGATAATATATTTTCAATGAAAGCAACTTGTAGGAAAATGAACAATTTAAAAAGGATTTTGTTATATTGTATAATTTCATGCAAGTATTCCTTTTTAATTTGTATCTACTTTTAAATATGTTTACATTTCTAAACAATAAAATGTGTTAACAGTGTTTGTAGAGATTTGTATGTATAAGCAAGACTTGTGCTAACTGAAATAAAATGAAATCTTAATATTGCTTAATTCAAATTTTTAAAAAGAATTATTTATTTAATTTTATTCATTCATTTATTTATTTTAATTTGACCAGAGACACAGAGAAAGAGAGAGAAGGAAAGTGAGAAAGCAAGCCACCAGGTTCAGGACTCAAACTGTGGTCAGCCACGTGGGAGTGTCCAGCACCTTAACCACCAAGCTACCTGCTGGTCCCCGCTTAATTCAAATTTTATAAGTAATATGAAATGTCTCACCAAATATAGCTGTCTATACACATACATTAAAATCAACACTGAGGTAGACTAGCAGATGGCATAATGGTTATGTTGCTGGACTCCCACGGTTGACTATGGTTCAAATCCCCGACCCAGCAGCTTAAAATTCATGCCAGGTGCGTGTGCGTGCATGTCCAAAATCCCAAGAGGAGAATGGAGAAGGGGTTGCAGCATGGACATCCCCACCCCTGCGGGGTGGTTTCTCACCTTCTGTCTTTCTAGTGAGCACACGTGCCCTACAGAAAAACTCTCTTTAAAATAATATCTTAACACTGAGGTTCCAGCAGATGGCATGGCTGTTATGTCACTGGACTCCCACATGGCTGACAGCAGTTTGCATCTTGGACCTGGGGGGGGGGGGCTTCAAATTCCTGGCAAGTGCCTGTGTGGGGGCCCAAGATCCCGAGAGAAGAGAGTGCAGTGTGGCCAACACCCCTGGGGGGTGATTTCTTACTTTTTGTCTTCTGGCAAGCGCACACACCCTATAGCAAAATTCTCTTAAAAAACAAATCAACATTGATATAACTGCAAGTGAATTAAATATCTACAATTTTCATTTATAAGGACAACTTGCACCTAGCGTTGGCTTATGTAATTTATAAAAAGTAAATGTGATATGTACTATAATCAAACTCAATGAAGTGTCTACTCAAGGCAAGAAAAATGGATCTGGGAAATATGGCTAACTTTCGCCTCTCAAAATTAGCTTCACTTAATGGAACACCTATATCACTTTCATTTTTTTTTTTTTTTTT